CYTCKYSGCCTTGGATCCWGCTCCGGTGAATGCAACATTCTCTTCATCTTGTTCGTCATCTGTACTCAGTTTTTTCATGATGTTCCAGCACACCAAAAATGTTTTGGAAAATTAGAAATACACACTGGCAATTATATAATCAACCGTAAACAACAGCCACGAGAAAGAACAGCGAGGTCACGAAGGGCCACAGATTTATCGTGACTGCCCATATAGTAATTATCATATCGTCACTACTCGGTGACATGGTCGAATGCATAACGTTTTGTTCTGTTTGTTGTTCTTCATGGCCGTAAGATGGCTCMAGTTGKTTTATTATTCAYGAGCCAACCTTAACTACAAGTCGTKTTTCCACTTGATACGGCATCCAAAGACAGGTTTTGCTCAACATCTCAGAAGTTTAGTGAGTTTTTGAGGACCATTTATAACCGCACCCTACCATTCTCATTTAACGGTCATCTGATAAACCTAAACCAGATGTAAATCTTAATATTCGGACAGCAAAACGCATAAAAACAGAATAGAACCACTATATATAAGTTAGTTGCAGATTGAAGAATGCCAATTCAAACTAGTCCGAAGTATTTGTACCATTAAAAGGCAATGGTCCTCCGTCAATAAAAGCGTTTGTGTTTTAGATTTTTCACATATGGAAAATTTGAGCTGGTTTTGAGACTTCCAAAGATTAACACGACAAAAAAGTTTAAATAAAGAAAAGAGTCAAAAATGCCTTCTATGTAAGGATGTAAGCCAACTTACACGCGCTCTCAGCAAATGTGGATTACCTGTGGTACTACGTCACGATCCCTTGCCTCTGGGTCCCTCTCTGGGGGGGTCTAATCACTAATCTGAGATAAGTGTTGCGCGCAGAGCAATTTATAACATTGCCCAAAAAGAAAAGAGTCAAAATGCCTTCTATGTAAGGATGTAAGCCAACTTGCACGCKCTCTCAGCAAAATGTGGATTACCTGTGGTACTACGTCACGATCCCTTGCCTCTGGGTCCCTCTCTGGGGGGGTCTAATCACTAATCTGAGATAAGTGTTGCGCGCAGAGCAATTTATTTTATAAACATTGCCCAAAACGCGACCCTACTTCCAATACTAACACYACACAAGGTTCTTCTCAACAAGAAGGTATAAACATTATATATAGAGACATGTATTCATGATATGAAATTCTCAAAGCCAAAACTACAAAATGGCGACGARTGGTTGAGGTTTCTACGTGTGTTGACATTAACAATGTAGTGTATTTCTTAACTTAAGCTTAACCAAGTATGTAGAATCATAACTTGACTTATAAAAGGATCCTTAGCTCATCTTAAAAAAAAATCATATTTTCCATCAAATTCATTTTGTTTGGTTGATATGATCAGACACTTTCTTGTTCTTCGTTTCACGTCGTCTCAACATGCTTTCCAGTCTCTCCGCCATTTCTTAGTGATGGAGACCGCTCATTGCTAGAACTTCTTTGAGACTATGCAGTTATTATCCATGACTAATTATATTAAAGAAATGCAAAATGAGTTCGTYATATTGTGGTTTGCAGTGGATGCTTCGAACGAAATTCGCAACGAAASTCACGAAATGTCTGAATAGATTTACGGAAGTTCAATTAAGATTCAACTTTAATTCTGTAGGTCCAAATTTCGATTTTGATCATAATTCACTCGRTTTTAGTCTAAATTTGCAAGACAGTGACGAGGCATCCCTATRGCGAACCCTGAAGGAGACTATTAATTTTTATCACTTTCATCACTTTCACATTTCATGCCAAGAATGGCAAAATCCTCTAGCTATATAAGTTACTGCAATAATGGGATATGACTTCATAAGAAATAAAGACCTTATTGAGAAATGCCAAAATTTGGTGTTAATTATTTATCAAATTTTCTAATTGTGCATTTCCTAAAAAGGCCATTGTTTTTATTTGACAATTATCCAATCTAATGGCAATACTGTAAATTCATGTCTTTTCAATATCATATACTTTCAGCTAACAAGATGAGCAACAAAATTAAACTTGTGATCTTGTCAGTTATTGTTGGTGCTGGCATTCTTATCATGAGCCTAAAATTGAAAGATTATGCATCCCCAATATTCAAACCAGCTTCATCTCGTGATGTATCAAGTAAAAAAGATTACCAAACATCAGTCCCTTGCCCTTCACCAGCACCTTGCCCTGAAGTAGCTCCTGCCCCAGTCCCTTGCCCTTCACCAGCGCCTTGCCCTGCAGTAGCTCCATCCCCAGTCCCTTATATTGAAACAAAGAGAGAGATTGCCAAAAGATTGGCTGAGATTTACCTCCAGTTAAAGAACGATGTCAGCCATAGCAAACCACCCACACCAAAGACGCTTGTGGAACTCAAAGGCATAATTGGAGAACTTGATCCAGCACATAAGCTCAGCTATGAAGAAAGAGAGCCAGCAGAACCAAAAAACTCATCTGTAATGCAGGATGTGTGCCCAGAGAAGTATATGGGTGAAAAATATGACTATCCATTCTATCACAAGGGATGGCAACTGCAAGATTGTAAAAATGTTAAACCATTAAACCAGGTTGGTGGACTTGTACATATTTCAGAGAACTGGGACAAACCAATATGCCAATATTTTCAGATCTTTATTCAAGTGAATAGTACATTAAATTAATAATTACAATTTATCAGTTATGAAGATTAATGATTAAATTCACAATTGTTAATTCTTGTATTTTAATTGTTATTGTTATTACTATTTTCATTAATAATTCTGCTCTTTCAAATATTCTAATGACAGTTACCCCTTTTACGTTCATAGTTTTTGTTGCTATCATAGGTCGTTAGCATTGTTCTTAATACAATGGCGTATCCTCAATCAATGGACAAGCAAGTCGAAACAGTGTTAAAAGGCATCAACCAAACYTATCCACAAGTCAAAGTGCTCTTAGCAGCCAAGACAAACCAAATGGAAGAAGCTGCTAAAAATTACCCAAATGTCAAAACTGTTGCTGTCAGTAAAGACAGCTCTCTTGGTAAAGTGTGGAACCAACTTATCAATGAAGTCTCAACTCCCTACACACTTGTTGCACGTGATGTTGTTCATTTTACTTGGGTGGTACGTATTGAACGACAAATTCGCATGATAAGTACAACAGACCATGTTGCAATAGTTGGAGGATCATTCCGTAATCTTACTGGACATTGGCGAGTTGGATGTCGRCAAACTAAACTATTTAACTATGTATTACAGTATGAAGAAGGTTACCACTACTCAAGACAYTCATGCATGTTTTGTGATGACTTGGAAGGGCCATTTGTTGCCCGAACTGATCTTCTGAAAAGCCTCAAATTCAGTGAAAAGTATAGCAAAGAAATCTTGTTTGAAGAATTCTTTCTTCGTGTTTTTCAAACTGGAAACTTGATAATGAACTGCCCTGATGCAATGTATTTCACAACAGACTACTCTACAGAAACTAAACAAAACAGCAAATCAATATGGCGGCCTCTTGCAACAGACTTAAAGTTAGTACGGGTGGTTATGAGTGATTACGGGGTCAGACATATGTTTTCTTGTGGAGAAATYTYRTACARGTGTGATGCCAAGCAAATAACAAAATACAAAGCTCTTCCTATGTGYTGTTTGGAGCAATTTGGAAATGCCATGAAATTTTTCCACGATTTATCCGTAAAAAATAACCTTCATTATGAACTTGATTCWGGTTCAAATCTGGCATGTGTAAAATTCAACAACTACAACCCATTTGACATCGATGGGGATTTCTTCTTGTCATCTCATAACATGTCATTTGTAAACTCTCAAGCAAGTCTTGTAAAAAAGAGTGGATTTTATCTCGGTGGATATCAACCAGGAGGTGATGGCTATCTAGCTTTCAATACTCCTGACATTAATATAGAAGTTTGGGGATTCAAGGTGATGTCTGCTGACTTGTTTTCTCCCCCAGAGTTAAACAAACCGTCACATTACACCAAATGCCGTGTGAATAATCACTGGATAAACTGTGTTCATTTTCCTGGRCTGTTTTCACGGAATCGTTATGGACCAGACATTTTRAAACACAGTCAAAGCTGGAGGATGCATGGACTAAAAACTAGCTTCAACAGATATTCACCGGGATCGTATGTTAAGTGCAATGATCCAACATTTCATTCATGCTTAGATAAATTTCCTAATGATGGTAACATTGCTTTCAAAGTTWTTTAACTGACATTATAATGATTAGAATTGTACAATTACAATTGAATATTTATATTATAATATATCAAGTGTCAAAGTTGACTTTTCCTTTGCCTTCAATGAGGCAAGACCTACATTCCTCCATTTAATAATGAACAAGACAGCAATAAATAACACAGTAAAAGAGAAAATATAATTGAGGAAACATTAACGTGAGTAGATTTGTAAGTGATTTGAGCATATTTGACGTTGAATCCATGTCAAAAGAATCCACCAAAAGACARCACATGGAAGTTGTGAATGTCATGTGATAGGTTTCATTTGTACCCAGTGCATTATATATTCGGCTCGACAATTTGTACCCGAAAGACGACCATGAACATGATGAAAAAGAATGCCAAAATTTAAACTTATTGCCGAACTTTTGTAACAAGACTACTCAAACTGGGCTTCCTGTATATCTATCACGAGATTTAAGGGCCTTTATGGGTAATTGAACATGTGACTTAACTTAAACTGTAGTGCACAAACACGACTTTATTGATAGATAGATTCACAAAAGGATAAAACTAAAACAAGCCTATGTCTAGCCCGAGTAACAAGTTTCAGTCGTCTATATGTGTAAATAAGGAATTTAATATGCTTGTTTATAAATAATTKATGCGTTTATATAAGGCCCCTTCCAGATGTCGATCTTTTGTCAAGTTTAATCTTACTAATTGGTGGAGTTCAGTTTATTAGCATTTGAGTTTATTGACATTAGTAGATTTTGTTCAGCTGGACAAACTTACTATAATCCGTAAATATCAATTGATGTAGACTGCAAAATTTTCAAGAACTGCATGTAAGCAATTAGATTAGATGCGGCAAAAGATCGACGTCTGAAACGGACCTAAAGTTGATAAAAACATTTTTTGTAAGTGATAATTGAATGACATTGTACCTGATAAAAGGTTTTGTAAAAATTATGATTAGTAATATATATATTATATYTGCAATGAATTATACTTGATCATCAAAAACTTAAACCAATAATTTTTTTTATAATCACCAAGGAGATACATTTACTTATAAATTCTATAAATAGCTCTTTTAAACAATTATGGTTGGTTCAAGATTATTTCCACTTTTTTATCAGAAAAAGATTCCATTGACTGGGAATTTGGGTTAATTATTAAAAATAGTGTTATGTATAGTTTAAAACACTAATTTGAAACTCAAATACGTTAAAAAAAGTAAAAAAAGTTTTGAGATAAATAGGGCAAACTGATTATACGCGAATCACTTGACAAAGTACTCTTGTCATCCCACATTGAATACGCATAAAGTAAAATAGAAGTGCTGATGGCAGTTTTATTGCAATCGATTGACATCCTGCATTGGTCAATGATCAGGTATCAAACCTGAGCCCTTTGCTAGGGTCATGGGCCTTTATATCTGATAAAGGTCACCCTTATTAGTGTTCTTTATATAAAGAATACTAATAAGGAGTGTTTTAAATATCAGATATTAAGGTCCATGCATGTGACCAAATAGGCTCATTCTATTGGCCTAATAACTCATTAATTATGCATGAGTTTTTTTTTTTGATTATTATATTCAATGAAACCTCATAGCCAGATTATCCGGGCAGTTGAGTTCCACATTTCAATAAGGTTTTTATGCCAAATTTTATCGTAGTAATAGGTGGGCATACAATGACGTAGTTTGTTTACATCCAAAATATAAAATTCAAAAAATAAGCAATCTGAACTCATATAATTCAAGATTATATTAATGTCAACAAAACCTGAAAATTTTAGGGCAAACGCCTTTTTACATTTCGAGATATCGGCATTTCAAAACAACAAAATCTATAGAAAACATTCAGTGGTTGGCAAAATAATGCCAACCACGGTCATTTCTTTAGAAAATCTTGCAAATTCGGCGCTTGATATCTCTTGAAATATTTAACCAACTGCCTTCGAATTTGCAGGAATTGCTAACAGGTATGAGTTCTTTTCATTTATGGGCTTGATTTTCTTGTGTCTTGAAATTCGATTTCTGACTTTTATGCAAATTAGCTAAAACGTAAACAATGGCGCAATAGTATTGAACCAATAGTATTGAGTTAACTAAATAGCAAAATATAGTGAAGATTAGACAATAGAGAACAAAGGAATTGGAACAATTCCTTAAGTCTTATATCTGCGCGATACACCTTTTCAGTTGATCTTAGGCTTCGACAGCGTGTTAAATATTCTTTTGAATTTGTAGGAATTAGAACAATGCACACATTGATATAAATAGTCTCATTTGTCAAATTCCAAAGAATAATTAACTTGCTATAGAGGCCTAAATGCAACTGAAAAGGTGTATTACATGAAGTTCACACTGTGACATAAGCAGAAGCAGAATAAGTGTATTTTGTATGTTTAAACTGGGGAAAACAGAAGCAGAGACACAAGCAGATGAAAATAAAAACTTTTTCATTTTTTTTTCTGCTTCTTGTCCTGCTTCTCTTGAAAGATTAAAGATTATGATTGTGAACCGGGACATCATAAGCAGAAGAACATGCTTCTGTCAAATGTGAACAAGCTTCTGCTTCGGTTTCTGCTTATGTGTGTAAACTGGCCCTTTATTAAGCTTAAGTCTTAAATCAACTGTAAGCTTAATAGTAAAAGTATTTATAGTAGAATTAGTAATTATGTGATGATTAATGGGATTATTTATTAATCATTTAGTCTTTAATTTGATTCTCCTCCAACAATATTGGCTCAAATATCAAATAAAAGTTTAAAAACGTTTAACTTACTGGGAGAGAACTCCTCTGATGTGTGTGTCCATATGTGTCCATGTCTTCATGATCAAATTGCCAGTGTCTTTTTGAAGTCAAACATCAAAACATACTCCATTCTTATTCAAACATTTCTTCCCCCTGGGTATTCCGAGCACATCACGTTTTGTATTACATGTTATTCCATTTTTTGTATAAAAGTATACAAAAATCTTGACTAATTCTTTAGAAAGGAGCATGCGTTGTTTTTTTGTCAGCGTACTGACATGCGAAAAGAATTGTGGGGGCTCAATTTAYTCATCAGACAAAAACAAAATCATTTGCTTAAAAATATTTTCAATATTCCCGGGACATTTTCCAATGTAAAACTCCAGACAAATAACAACCCAAATATTGTTGACATTTTAACGAAGTTTTGCAGCTTAAAATTGGATACTGGCTTCGGCAAAAAAATTTAAAGATATGAGGTATTTGCAAGTAACTTTATGTCTACAACTTGAAACGTTTAATGAATTAACTGTGTGTGTGTGTGAATTAWAGGGAATTAATTCGTAAAACTGATTTGGTCTCCAGTTCCGAGATSTAGTCACGCAGTCCCAACTTCAAAAGAGACTGTAATATTGGAATTTTAAAAAGCTCTGCCGACTGCGAAAAAAAAATAAAGTGTTGTTATTATAATCATTTTGTCTGTTGCTAGGTTTAACGTATTACAACGTTCTTTAGTTGAAACATTTATTGAGTCACTTCCACTCTAATACAATGAATGAATTTAACTATTAAATACAAAAATACATGCCAATATAAATGGTGTGTTTACATAGGGTGTGTCACATAACATGGT